GTATCCCAGGGTCCCCCGCTCCCCACCCTCGCCGAGGCCCTCCTGTTCCTGTCACACCATCTGTTTTGCTGAGCGTGTGGTGCTCTGGGCCCTAGGAAGCGACCCTACTCAAGGCTCAGGGCTGCTGATCGGCGGTTTTAAACAAATGTCCTCGGCGTTTGCCGCTCCCTGGGACACACTCCCTGCTCCGTGCATTTGGACAAATGTGTGCTCTGCGGAGCCTCCTGGCCTCCCAAGGCCCTCGCAGCACCCACCCTCCTCCACCCAGCCGGGACCACTGCTGTCCTGCTGGTTCTCGCTGTGCCTTTGCTGGGTCTGTTCTAGACGTTCCTGTGACTGCACAGTGCTTTCACACAGTCTGAGTGGTGAGCTGACAGCTGGTGAAGCTCGGGGGAGCCGGAATTCCTGCACCCCTGCTGGGGAACGTTTACCTCCATCCCTGTTAGCTCGGTACCCTTGTCTTCCCAGGATGCACCCATCTGATCTGGGACCAGGACACCGGCTGACCCCAGCCCGAGGTTTGTCTGATCAAGGCGTTGTCCTCCTCCTGTCCGGCCTCCAGACAACAGGGCTCCTCCCTGGCTGAAGGTGAAGGCATGCCGCGGTCTGTTAGGGAAGATTTTTTTTTTCCCTGAATTTGAAAGGCACAGACACACACACACACACACACACACACACACACACACACACACACACAGATCTTCCATCCACTGGTCCACTCTTCAGATGGCTACAACAGCCAGGGCTGGAGAGGCCCGAATTATGATCCCACAAATCCATGCAGGTGTCTTCCGCCGACTTCCCCGGGCGTAGCGGCAGGCAGCTGGATTGGAAACAGAGCACCTGGGGTCTGAATTGGCTCTCTGATCCAGGAGGCCTAATCTGTGCCAGGTTCTCATTGGCTGTGCCCTGTGCCAGCCCTACAGGTACCCTGTTTATGGTTTAGTGACCATGGCCAGCTGCAATCTGAAGATATGAAGTGGAAAATTCCAGAAATGAGCACTTTGTCACGTGTATTGTGATGGTTTGTAACTGTACTCAGTGTAGACATTACAATTTACCAAGCGGGTAAGTGCTTGCCCAGGTAGTCACCCCAGGCTCTGTGCTGCCCGTGGCCTCACACGTGTGCTGAGACCTGCAGTCCAGGGCAGAACGGGGGAGCCGCTCAGCCCTGCACTCCAGGGGAGCCGCCCAGCCCTGCGCTCCAGGGGAGCCGCCCAGCTTCATTTTCCTAATTTACTTGAAGAGCATGTTTTGCTTTCATTCATTTCTCTATTATCCAGTTCTCTAACTCGCTGATTCCTGTTCCTGCACTTTTTCCGCATTTATCCTGAAAGACCTCTGTGTCTGGAGCTGCAGTCGCCTAGGAGAAGGTTCAACGTGTAAACGTGGGCTCACGTCGGGGCCGAGTTCCGCTCAATGGTCTATTGTCATTGCTTGTCATAACTTTATGACTTCCTCTGGCCTATTCTATTTGATGATCTATTATCTATTTCATGCTATTAGCATCATGTATTAATGGTCATATCATTGCAGTGAATTAGCAGGCTTGGCACGAGGGACTCCATGGGAGCTGGGCTCCATCTTGGGTGAGGTCCCTGTCCCCCCGCCACCCCCACCTGTGAGACTGCAGCCTGGCTGAGAAAACTGAGTCCAGCTTTGCAAGAACTCTCGAGCCCCTGGCAGGGACCCGGAGAAAACGGAATTTCACCTACTTCAGTAGAATCCCTTTCCTTCTTGGAGGCAGTTCCAGATTGCTCAGCCCCAGGACCACTCCTGGTCTGTGGTTCTTGCCTTTATAAACACCTGCTGTACTCTATGCTGGATCCTAGCCAAAAGGCCAAGAAGCAGTATTACCTGTTACTCTGAACTTGCAGGGCAGAGGTCTCTGGGGCAGGGGCCCACTCTCCACTGCCGGGCATAAAGGCCTTTCCATCTTATCAGGGTGTGGGGCTCTTCTGCATTTGGAGTGCAACAGTAGCAAGTCTTAAAATAAGAGTGCAATAATTTCATTTTAAGTTTCCAAGGTTTTATTGTGACTCCTCAAGGTTTATTTGCAACGTCCCTATCTATTTTAGGATCCATTGGTTCACTTCAAATGACGGCTGAGATGAAAATGCTCAGGGAACAGTCCTGCTGAGGCATGACTGACGGACAGTGACACCGTGCGAGGATCCACTTGGAGAAGCCAGCACATGTGCGTGAGCTGCTGTTGCCCCCAGGTGTTCCTGGCTTTCCTGCCCCCTGAGTCTTGGTCCCCACGCTGCTCCCGTCCTCCAAGCTGCTTCCCGTCTTCCGGCGTGTTGAGGCTTTGATTGGGATGATGTTCAATCAACACATCATTACCTTACAGACATCCAGTCTTCCGACTGTGACCTGGCGTACCTTTCCATTCTCCCATCAGGACTTGGTGAGTTCAGATGCAGAGGTTTTCCATATGGGGTGTGGAACTGTCTCGCGTGGTGGCCCCTCTGCCCCTGGAAGGACAGCCTTGGCTCTCGCGACCACAGGGCAGTCAATCAAACCTGGCACACACGCCCACGATGTTGCGAGAATCCCGTGCTCTCTGAGGACGGGGCAGAGTGTTGGCCCCGAAGTGGCCAGACTGCTGAGCCCCATCGCCCCGGCTCTGCCCAGGGGCGAATCATCCGCTCAGGAGGTGTCCTTCCTTTTCACCTGAAGAACCCAGACTCAGGGGTCATCCCCCTCCACTGACAGCTCTCTTAAACTTGCCCAACCTCGGTGGTAGGTGCGCATGGCGGCCCAGGACAGACACCATGCAAGCCAAAAGCCACGGGCAGTCTGCTGATGGGCACCGGCCAAGGCCTGGGCATGTGCAGTGGGCGGGGCCGGAGCATGCAGCATTGTGGGGGTGGGAGTAGGATGCCGCGTCAGGCTGCGCTGTGGGCTGGCAGCAGCTCTGATCACAGGCTGGGTTGGAAGACTGAGCCCTGGGCGACATCCAGTGCAGTCAAGGTGCCAGAGCTTCTTCAGCTCTGCCTAGAGGGAGATGTCCCAGGGCCAACGCGGAACCTGGGGATGCTGGGGACAAGCTGGGGACAAGCCGCGGCTGCCTGGCCTGGGGGATGCAAAGGCTCAGTGCCACGATGGGGCATGGTCACAGCACTGACGCTCGCCAGTGAGATGTCCCTGGGGTGTTCACATCTGTCTGATCGGTGTGCAGAAGGCTCGGGGTTGGGCTCAGAGGGGTAAGTGGCCCCACAGTGAAATCCTTGGCCTGTTACAGGCAACGGGGCACAGTGCCCTCGCACCCTTGGACACCTTGTACAAGAACTTGGGACCTGACTGTTGGGGTGGCCGGCATGGGGCCCTGTTCTCTGATGATGATCCCAAGGAATGGGCTGCAGAGGTGCGTGACCACACACCGTCTCGGCCCCACTCCTCCGGTGTTACCCAGCTGAGAACCGGCCCCTCTGCCTCCTCTTCCTCAACCATCTGAGCCAGTGATAAACCGAGAGTGGATTGTTGGTCTACACTGGCCGAATCTGCCAGCAGGGACGAGGCCTGAGCCAAGATGGTTCCTGCTACACTGACAGGTGCGGGGGGCCGGGCTGGAGGACATCCCTTGAGGAAGGGCACGCGGCAGCAGCGGGCTGTGACGGCAGAGTTGCCACTGCCTGCTCTCAGGCCAGAGCCACCCTCTGACCGGTCACCTCCAGGTTCCTAGCAACAGAGCAGCAGCTGTTGTTGGTCACCGCACCCCAGCCCAGCCCCCCATCCTGCCCCCAGCACAGGGCAGAGGGGAGCCTCACAGCCTTGCTCAGGAGTGGGGGTGGCTATAGGGGCTTCGCCCTGCTTGAACACTATTCTGTTTACTGGTTTTAAAGATTTATTTATTGTTTTTATTGCAAAGTCAGGTACACAGAGAGGAGGAGAGACAGAACCAGGAGCCTCTTCCAGGTCTCCCACACAGGTGAAGGGTCCCAGGGCTTTGGACCGTCCTCGACTGCTTTCCCAGGACACAGGCAGGGAGCTGGATGGGAAGTGGAGCTGCTGGGATTAGAACCAGTGACCATATGGGATCCCGGTGGGGAAACTCGCAGGCACGCTGTTCAGTGAGGAATGCCAATGACGGGACAGAGCCACGGGAGAATCCCCGCTTGTCCTTGCTAGCAGCAGCTGTGGGGTTCTATCTTAACGCTTCTCTGACTTATCAAAACGTGCCACAAGGAATCTAGATCCGCCATAGGAGATTTGTATTTCAGAAAAGTCAATCTCAAGCAAAAAAAAAAAAAACAAAAAACAAGTGACAACTCGTACTAGAAGAGCCTAGCAGGCAGCCTCGGGGGGACTCAGAGAGGAGACCACCCAACAGCAGCACCCACCGTCCTAGCTGATCGGCGAAGGCAGGTGGCCAGGCCGCGGCCAGGCAGGGGAGGTGCGGCTGCTGCACGTCACCTCCGGGGCCGGGCCTCGGCCGCGCCGCGCGCTCGGGAGCGGGCGGTCTCCATGGCAACCCGCGGGGCCTCGGCAGGGCCAGCCCGCCTCGGCCGCCCCTGCGCCGGCCGCCCCTGCGCCCGCCCCGCCCGCACAAAGGCCGCGCCGTGACCCGCCCCGCTTCGGGCCCCGCACCTGCCGGAGAGCGCCAAGCCGCCATCGCCATCGCCGCCGCCCGGGCCGCGCGGACGGGGAAGCGCTGCTGGGCCGGCCGCCGCGGTGGACTAGTCGGCCACCTTGTCGCGAGCAGGCCATCTTGGTCGCGGCCTGCGCGGCGGACAGACGGAGGCGCGGAGGAGGCCGCGGAGAGCTCAGGTACGCCCGCCCGCCGCCCCCGCCGGGCAGGTGCACGGCCCCCTTGGTTCTCCCCCCTGGGCGGAGAGAGGGGGTGCCGGGGCTCCGAGCGCGCCAAGCCGCCCACGCGCTGCCCCTCCACCCCCTCCTCCTACCGGAAACCTGAAAAAACAAAAACCCCCCAAACACCATTCTCCCCCATCCTTCAGGGTCCCGAAGCTGCCGAAGCCTTGTGAGAGACGCGGGAAGCAGCGGCACCTGCCCTGGGGGTCTGGGCTTGGAGTCGACCCCGGCCTCCTTGTGGGGCGCTCCAGTCCTGCTCCCCGGCGAGGCCTCCCCGCGCGCCGAGCCCTCGGCCCCGGCCCGGGCCAGCATGGTGCAGCCTCAAACCTCCAAGGCCGAAAGCCCCGCCGCCGCAGCCGCCAGCGCCCCGGTGGACGACGTGATCGACACCCTGACCTCACTGCGCCTCACCAACTCCGCGCTAAGGCGCGAGGCGTCCACGCTGCGCGCCGAGAAGGCCAACCTCACCAACATGCTGGAGAGCGTGATGGCCGAGCTGACCCTGCTGCGCACGCGGGCGCGCATCCCCGGCGCGCTGCAGGTCACGCCGCCCATCTCAGCCATCACCTCCAGCGGCTCGAGGCCCATGACCACGCCGCCCACCTCGCTGCCCGAGCCCTTCTCCGGGGACCCCGGCCAGCTGGCCGGCTTCCTGATGCAGATGGACAGGTTCATGATCTTCCAGGCCTCCCGCTTTCCCGGCGAGGCAGAGCGCGTGGCCTTCCTGGTGTCCAGGCTGACGGGGGAGGCCGAGAAGTGGGCCATCCCTCACATGCAGCCCGACAGCCCTCTGCGAAACGACTACCAAGGCTTCCTGGCCGAGCTGCGCAGAACCTACAAGTCGCCGCTGCGCCACGCGCGGCGCGCGCAGAACCGCAAGACCTCGGCCTCCAACCGCGCGGTGCGGGAGCGGCAGCTGCTGTGCCGCCAGCTGGCCGCCACAGGCACGGGTCCCTGCCCTGTGCACCCAGCCTCCACCGGGGCCAGCCCAGCGCCAGCGCTGCCCTCGCGGGCACGGAACCTTTAAGCATCTGCTGCCACCACCACGCCGGTCGCATCGCAGCCGCCCGTGCCTAGCGCCCACTGTTGGCAGTGTAGAACTGTCTGATCACCAGTGACGCCCGTGTGTGAAGCCATCCCCTGCCGCCTCTCCTGCCCGGATCCACCGGAGCTCCCACCTCGCTCTGCTTTCTGCAGCCAGGTGCTCGCTGGCACCTACTCCAAGCGCATGCCTCCCCCTCCCCCCGTGTCGCTTGCACCCTGTCTGCCTTGACTCCACCCCACCTGCCACCATTTCTGGGCACACGTGGCAACAGTAAGGTTGGGTTCTGCTCCCTGGGCATCTTCCAGCCTGAACCCTAGACAGCAGCTGCATCTTGGGTGTTGCTGGAGTGGGTCCCAGCCCTGCCATCAGTGGCCCAGGAACCACCCTTGCCAAGAGTGTAGTTGTGGCATTTCTCTGCGTGGAGGGGCCTCATTCTGCAGGTGCATTTCCAGTCCACTTCCTGCATGGCTGCCACAGGGAGGGACCAATTTGCCAGTGGAAAGGAGCCCTTCCCCGGAAGCCCCTCCACTCACGCCTGGCTCCCACATTGGCATCTGCTAGTGCCAGGAGTCTGGGAAACTGGCATCTGTGTGCTTAGGTCACTGAGCTCTTGGGAGTCGCGGTCAGCCCCAGGCAGCCGCTTCACACACCAGCCTTGGCCGAACAGCTCCTGTGGGCCCATGGCAGGCATTGGCCATGCCCTTGGCTGGCTGCTCTGTGGCGGGCAGGGAGCACCGCAGGCGGCCTGGGTGGTGAGCCTTGCTCCACTTGAAGCCTGCTTCCTTCTCCGTTCAGGTTCTACGCAGCCTTTCCCTGGGACCCAGCACCCACACTGCCTCTGGGTCTCCAGGGACACCCCCTGCCTGCCCTGCCTGAGCCATGGTGCCCAGCCTTTGTCTAAGGAAACACTTGAAGCAGGTGGGGGAAGGAGGTGTCTGTCTGCCGTAGCCGGGGTCTTGGTGCTTTTTTGACAGCACGGAACTGCAGCCTGCCCGGTCCTGATGGAGTGATGGTACGGGACCGGTTCCGAGGGACTGTGCTGTACCTCCTGGAGTGGACAGCCGAATGCGCCCTCACTCTGGAGACGGCCAAGGGATTGCTTCCCGAGACTAGAGACTGAGACAGGGCCAAGCCCGACTCCTGCTGCGCCTGCTGTGTCTCAATGCCAAATGAGCCTTGTGCAGGTGACCCCTGGGCCTGGGAGGGGACTGGGCAGGCCTGGCCTGACTCTGGAGGCATCTCCCCTCTCTACACCCACCAAAGATGTGCCTGTGGAAAGGGTGGTCCCAGAGGCTGGCTCCTGGGACCCCCTCCTGATCCTGGAGAGTTTCGGTGATGCCGGGACAATGCCACCTTGCAAAGCCAAGCCAAGGTCACACGGTGACTGCCGGTGCTCGTGGGCCCTGCTACCTGCTGGTCATCACCTCTCAGCCCGTTGCCCTCCTGAACAGCTGCCTGGAGACGGGCTTCAGGTCCCGCTGGACTCTGGCCGTGGCCGTTCAGGTGGGACCATGGTGCTCACGAAGCAGGGCTCTCAGGGGTGCAACCATGGCATTCAGTTCTCTTCCATCTCCAGCAGCTTTGCCGGGAAGACGTGGACTGGCCCGGGAGAGGTGCCCAGGGCTGAAAGGGCGCAGTGGCACCTGCTCTCCCTGGGACATAGTCCTACCAGGGGAGGGTCCTAGCCTGGGAATGGGCAGCTGTGCTGCCAAGCTGGCTGCACCCAAAGGAGTCTGTGCCAAGCTAGTCAGTAGGTGCTGTTCTGGCAGTGCTGCTACACACCAGGGCCCCATGCCCCGGCCGTTTGGGTGGGGTTGGCCACCCTGCCCTGCCCGTGGCTGTGTCCAGGCTGTGTGTTCTGTCCTCTAGTGCCCCTTCACCTCCACGGGCTGTCGACAAGAGTACTTGCTGGTTGTCCGTGACCTTCTTGATTGCTCCCGGCAGCTTTAGACCCTGGAGCAGATGAGAGAGGGTCAAGGGGGGCTCTCTGGGCTCCAATGAGGGACCCAACAGCCCTGAGCCCAAGGAAACGGCTGTGTCCCGGGCAGTCGAGGTGAGGTCAAGGCAGAGAAGGCCAAGGACCGGTGCTTGCTTTGGAGCTGTGGCCCTAAGGGAACAGGTACCACTCTATGAGGGGGACAGGTGGCAGTGGTGTGTGATGTATGCAGGTTCCATGGCACTGACCCAGTGTGCGTGGCACTGTCTGGTAGCTGCCTCCAGGGGCAGTCAGGGCAGGGCCTGCGGACATAGTGTGGGAGCAAGACTGTGGCCTTGGGGTGCACACCTCCCAGAGGCATTTCTGGGGAACTCTGAGGGTGCAGAGCACAAGCCTCAGGTTGGCGTGCAGCTGGAGAGGAGCCGTGGAGAGCAGCCTCATTGCTGTGTGCTCGGGACAGCACCCTGTACTCTTCCCAGCCGGGGTTCCCTAGCAGCTGGGACTGTGAGTGCAAGAGAAGCCAGGAAGCTAGACACAGGCTGGGGGCAGCCTGAGGAACAGGACCCCTCCTCCTGCCTGGAGCCAAGTTCACGGCTGCGTGGGAAGCATTGGTCCAAGACGGGACTCCTGGGGGAGGATGTGGTCAGCTGGAGGAGTCCCTGTGTGAGGGGCAAGAGTGGGGTGGGGCGCTCCACCGTGAGTGTGCGTGGGTCATACCTCGGACCTGAGTGATGGGGATGCTGGCCGTGAGCATGGATGGTGTGGAGACAGTGGTTGGGGGATGACGCCCTCCCAGCTCCTCACTGCCACAGCACTAGGTGGGACGGTCCCAGTGCCTAAGCCTGCGTGCTGGGGAAGCTGGAGGTTGTGGAGAGCAGGCGGGAGCAGAGCAGCCTGTATTGTGGTCCCTTGTGCCTCGTCTCTGAGTTCTGTTGTTGGCATAGTGTGCTGTGTGCACCCAGAACTCCCGGGACCTGTGCCTGGCGTCCTGATGGGCTTAACTCAGATGACCCCACTCCCCTGGCATGGATGGATGGTGCTGCTGCCGAGTGCCCACCGCTGCACAAGGGGACACGCTTCAGCCTGTGCCCCTATCTCTGCCCCCCACCTGGGGCGGCGTCCCAGAGCGAGGCTGAGCCCCCACAGCTTTGCCTTGGTGCAGCCTGTTCACCCTCAGGTAGGGCGTGGCCGTCTCGCCCACCCCGGAAGGGGTGTTACCTGGCGGGGTATTCTGCCGCTTTGATCCGGAGCACAGAGCCTCGTGTTGTACCTTGCGTTTCCTTGATTTTTAGCAGTCGAGCTGCCTCTTACCCCGCAGCTGTTTCCCCTCTGGTGGATTGTCCCCATTCCCGACTCTGCCCACTGGGACCTGAGAACATTTGTAGGAGTTTGTTCCACATTAAAGCTGTTAACCTGTGCTGTGTCATGTCTGCTGCCGCCGACCCCCAGGTCTCTCCTTCGTGTGTGTGGCCACAACTCATGGCCTTCAGGGGTGAGCCCTTACCCCTTGCACAACACGGGCTGCCATCAGATGCACCTGTCAGTGCCTGGCATGCGGTTTAGCAGCCGAGGGGCTGGGGCTGGGCGGATTTGTAGGGTGGCCCTGGCTGTGATGTTTACGATCCAGGAACGATCTGGCAGCTTGTGGTCTGGGGATCCCCTTGCCCTGTTGAGACCCCAAAAAGCTTTTTCCTTATGCTGGTCTTGCTCTCCCTAGTCACTGTATTGTAAATAAAAAATATTCTGAAGATGGAAACAAACATGTCAACCCCAACTACATATTCTTAGGAAAACAAGATTTTCCGAAACAAAGAATCAAAAAGGTGGCATTGTTTTGTTATTATTTTGCATATTTCTTTGGCTCTGTAGAAAACAACACTAGTGTCTCCTCTTTGTTTGCTGGAGACCACCTCTCACCTCGGGGCTGGGCCGGGGGGAGGACCACCATACACCCCTGGGGCAAAGGGACACGGCGCTCACCAGCTCCGTGCCACGCCCCACCCTGGCCTAGGATGGGACCAGAACCAGGAGCTTCTCTGGTCCTCTGCCTTGTTGCTCCCTGCTTCAAATTCCAGCTCCCACTCTCCCTTAGAAAGGCGAGTCATTTCGGGGATTATTTTGGCAGAGTATGTGACAAGATTTAAACAAATGCCTGGCGCTGGTAAATCCTTCCTCTCGCTCCACGCCTGCGTCCCCGTCTCCCACAGACACCTGTCGGTGACGGCCGGCTCTGCTCACAGCTCTTCCTCCCACACTTTGGCTTTGCTCAGCGTCTCACTATGTAGGATGGATTAGGGCTTTGTCATTTGTATTCATACCTGGTCGGGCTCCCTCCTTCCAGATTTCCTAAGCTGTTCTCACCAGACGATCTCGAACAAATTAATTCAGAAGTCTTCCCCAATGCCCGGGAGCAGGTGTGGGGCGGGGAGAGGCATGCTCGCACCAGCAGGTGGGCACACAGTGGCAGAGCCCTGCCCTGGGGGCCAGGCTGTGGGACGCTGTGACGAGGTCTTGGCAGGAAGGAGTCCTCGGCACCTGCTCGCCTGTTCCTGTGAGGGCGCGCAAGAAGGTTGGCAGAAGATGGGATTACAAGGCTGGGGTCTCGGTGCGCAGGCTTCTCAAGATGGCACGATGGGCAGGACGACGGGCATGCCCCTTGCACAGTCTGACGGCCCTGGTGCTGTCGCAGTAGCCGTGGCTGAATGCTGGAGGTGACACACGTAAGCTAGAGCCATTTGCTACCATGAAAAGGTGACACCAGGCGGGAGTGCACAGAGCCAGTTCCCGGTCCTCAGGATGGGTGACTGAGGACAGCAGATATGTCAGCTTGTACCAAAGAAGTTGACAGAATTAGGGGGCACTTTGTCAGGCAGCCAAGTGCTGCCTGCAAACCACAATCCTGCTGATTCAAGTCCCGGCTGCTCTGCTTCCCAGCCAGCTCCCTGCTCAGGCACCTGGGAAATCAACAGAAAATGGACCAAGTCCGTGGACCCTATATCCACGTGGGAGACCCCGAGGAAGTTCCTGGCTCCTGGCGTTGGACTGGCCCAGCTCTAGGTATTTGGGGAGAGAACCAGAGGATAGAGGATCTCTCTATCTCTCCCTTTCTTTGTAACTCTGCCGTTCAAATACATAAGGTGTTTTTGTGGAAATTTACAGAATTTATCAATTTCTAATAAAAATCCTAGGATAACTTTAATTCTGAAGTTGATACAAATTGGCGCCAATTTGTAAGACTAGATGGCGAGCGTGCACACGTGTAAGTGTGTGCATGAATTGAAGTGCGAGTGATGTTTATTCTCTGCCTAATCCGTGTTATTAATAGTATCTATTAGGATATGTAATTCTATTATAATTCAAGTAACTCAGTGATAAACAGGTTCATCAGAAAAGCCAGGGTGGCAAGCAGCCAGGTTAGCTGTGAGCAGGTGCTCTGAGGGGGAACCGAGGGTGGCAAACAGTCCGGTTAGTGAGAAGCTGGGGGCGGGGTGGCCGTGTCCTGGAACAGGGGATGTGAGCGGGGAAGGAGCTAAGACCCCAGTCCTGAGAAGGGGGCACGTGCGGTGGGCCGGGGCCACGGGGTCAGGAACAGAATGGGACCTGTATTCCCATGGCTTCGCAGACAGCCCCCTGCCCACGCCCGCAATCATCTCGTCATTGTCAAAGCCCTTTGCAGGCGGCTGCCCGTCCCCAAGGAAGCTTCCTCCACGCGGGTCTGGAGCCTGGCCGTCCCTTGCTCATCCCCGTGCTGTCCCCAGGCGGCTCCTGGTCCCAAACCCAGGCCAGAGCTCAGACAGGGTCCAGTCCTAGACAGGCAGCACTTGGCTACCGTGTGCCACCTTCCTTTCAGACTTTCCAGTCTGGCTTGCAGTGATTTCAGTATTTTCAGATGTTCTAAGGCCTATGTCCCACGCGTGTGTGTGTATGAGTGTGTATGATTCCGTGTGTGTAAGTATGCGCGTGTGTGTGCTGCTCATTTTCATTTGGCTCGCATGGGCCTGGAGAGCTGCCGTCACACGGAAAGGTGACTGCGTATGGCTGTGAGGCAGGTGGGCGGAGCTCAGTGAGCAAGTTCAAATCCTCGAAGTGGCCCTGCTAGCTGGGCCCAGGGGCTAGCCGCTCAGCCCAGCCTGTGTGTCAGTCTGTGGACAATGTCACGTGTGCTCCCTGCCAAAGCCTGGCACGGGAGCCAGGCGCTATCGGCCAGCAGTCACATGGGAGCCAGGCACCATCGGCCAGCACCCACACAGGAGCCGGGCGCCATTGGCCAGCACCCACGCAGGAGCTGGGCACCATCCCTCAGCACTCAGGCTGAAGGCACTGGGGGTTGAGGACAGAGGAGGCGTATCGAGTGAGCTGGACTGTGGCCCATCACCTCTGGGGGTGATGCAGGGGCAGACACTGATGGGCAGGGTTGGCAGAACCAATCCCTGAGGAAAGAGGCTGAGATGGGGCCATGCTGAGGCTCCGACTGGCGCCTGGGGTGCCCCGCACTGACTGCCATGATGCTGGGGAGGAAGAGGTGCAGGTGGTGCCTCCAAGGAGGGCATCAGGCAGAAGGAGAACCCCCAGCTCCTCGTGCCGGGGGCCGGGCTGGCCCAGGGCACCTGCTGTACTACACGGACAGACGGTCACCTGTCACCACTCAGCCCGATGTGACCGCAGAGGAGAGGTTCCTATTGAAATAATACTAATCTGTCTTCAGTCTCAGAATCAATAGCGTCTTAGACATAATAATTTGCTTTTCTGTTTGGGGAATTATATATGTGCAACTTTATATCCTGACTTCATACCTCACCCATTTTACCATATTGTTAAAATGTTGTTGGAAGCGATGCCTAGAAATTTCCTATAAAATCTCTCCTAAGGTTGTTGGGAAACTGGAATTAAAAGGGATCTTAATAAAAGATATGTCGATGCAAACAATTTGAAATCTATGCGTTGTCCTCATCCTCTTCATCTTCATTTTAAAAGATTTATTTATTTTTATTTGAGAGGCAGCGTTATGGAGAGACTCATCTGCTGGTTCACTCCCCAAATGGCCGCAGTGGCCAGAACTCGGCCAGTGCTGAGCCAGGAACTAGGGGCTCCTTCTGGGTCTCCCACGTGTGTGCAAGAGCCCAAGGACTCGGGCCCTCCTCCCCTGCCTTCCCGGACCATTAGCAGGGAGCTGGATTGAAAGTGGAGCTGTCAGGATTGGAGTGTGTGTGGATGCTGAC